TCTTTATCCTTTTCGGTATGTTGTTTAGTCTCTATTAACGTTAGTTTTCTTAGAAGAATATATATATCCCTTCGTCTCCCCACATAGCGTTTTATTAATTGTCTAGCTCATGACTCTCTCACGTCTAGCACGAGTTCCGCTTGATCAACGGTAACCCTATTCTCACTGTTTTATACTTTCGTAGTTTCTTAGAGGTGGGTATGGTGTACACAAATCCTCGTGGTTTCGTCTCGACCAGCCTGGAGGTGGGTTGATAGGAGGTCAAAGAATTTATTCTCCCGACCTCTTGAAATACTCCTTACTTATTTTGGAAACTATGATACAGCTGAGAAGGCTTTTTCCCTTGCTGTAATATTTTAATATAATATCATGGTAGTTTCAGGCTGCCTGTGCTCTGCATCACATGATTCAACAGGGGGGGAGGATGTGTGACACTAGACGGATAGTACGATGTCCCTGACGGGTTTTCAACATCAAGGTTTACGGCAGCGATTTGGACAATGTTGACTTAACTTGAATGGCAGGGCAAAGATGTAAAGATCGAATTTTGATATCCTAACCGGAGAAATATTCTCACGAAGAAAACAATAGGGAATAAGAAACGGGAAAGACTGATATGACCCAAATACAGGTAACGGAGGAAAGAGAGACAGATTGGATGGATGAATAAAAACAACTAACAAAGGGAAAACAAGCTGCCTTTTATCCTTCCCTAGATCATGCCGATCCACTTCCACATACTTCCAGCGTATGCCGTGTTCTCCATCACATTCAATTTCACTATTGCCCATTGTGCTACTTTGGCCGAGGATAAGTGAATTCGACAGAGGGTATGTTCTGACCGAGGACATTCGGTATTTCCATATGATAGGGGTAACGCCTTAACATGGAGTCGTCGCAGGTATCGTCGCAGATCTTGTCACATATGGTGTTTGATGTGTAAGACTAACCAGTAGTCAAACATAGAGGCGTCGGAGTAGTTGATATGCCAAGAGGGTTAGGGTTGTGAAGTCGTTGCCATAGGGGAAATGTGCGGTGAGCAGCCAAGAAACAATCCCGTCCAACAACGGGTAGGTACTGTAGGTAGTCTAAGAAAAGCATCCAGGTCAATTTGGACATATATCCTATACTACGCCTCACGGCGGAAGAGGGTCTAGCTCCGGGGCAGAGTGCACTAGGAGCCGGGGTGGGTATTTCAGACAGGAATCAAACACTCCGGGTGGCATAAATTGACCACACCTGCGGCCTGCCGTAAACATGGCAATTTCCAAAGGAAATTACAGACATGGAAACTCGGAATTGGGACATTTCGGACCTACTGCTGAGTTGGAAATGGGTATCACGCTCTTGGGAATATGCGCTCTCTTACCTATCATTCGTATCGCCGTCTTCCTGGCTTTGCACTCTTGGTCAGCCACTTCTTCTTACCGGGTTCCCCACATTTCTGATAGAGCGGTTCCAATCACCCTCTGCTTTCAGAAGGCCACCAAGGTGTTGAAGACGTGGTAATTTTTTGTGGGCGTGCATCATTTGAATACCAGGGGAAACGATCCAAGCTCTCTCGGGTATCGTAGCATTTAATTACTCGATTACATTATGGCGAGGGATCTGTCGCCAGAGGACAAAGCGAGGCACTACGTGGCCAGAGTTAAAACTAAAAGACTTCTTAAACTCCGTGAAAAATTAACCATGAGGTGATAGGGTAGCCTACTAACTTCAAACTAATAAATAGGGATAAAGAAAGAAAAAAAGTATTTCGTCAAACCATTAGAGTATAAAGGGGGAGGGTGGCATATTTTGTGGGGCAGAATTGAAACGTCACTAGCACGTTCTGAGAAAAGCGGTAAACGAGTGATATCCCGTGACCTCGCTGCGGGTTATTAAAGCCTAGCGGACATAACAAAGTGTTTAGCCAGTCAAGAAGTACCGAGTTTGAGAGGCAATGCCATTGGACAGGTACTGTACCCGGGTTAACGGTGGGAATGGGGATCTGCGACACGTTCCACATCAGCGGTGGGCTTTCTCCAATCGATTTAACTAACAGAAGAATACGGAAAATGCCACCCACCAGTCAGGGAACAACGAAAAATGGGGTGCTCTGCCGAGGATGCATTCCATAGTGGGGGAGTCGCTGGTGGTCTACCGAAAACCTCATAGAATTTATTGCCCTTGCCCTACATATATTAGGTTTCTTCGGCTACCGTCAATTGGCGTCATCCTGCATATACAGTGGGTGAATCTTTAATGAATACAAGTGTGGGCTTCATTTTGGGGCTGCAGAGTTTCGTGATCGGGTTTTTTCCGGAGTCGGTGCTGAATATCGCCATACGAGTGCAAGATAGTGTGATAGCGACGGCGGTGTTCAAAGTCAATGACCACGACTTTGCGTTAATAGTTTTAACCATGGCCACGTGTTGCGTTAGGAGTAAATTAACCTATAGAAATTAATCAATGGAAACTGATACGATAGTAGAAACTACACTCAGGACACCATATGCGGAGCCGATAAGGTTGTCATGTTTGCCCTTTCTCCATCTGTTTCCAATTGGAAGAATAGATACAGTATTCGGATATTGTCTTTTACGAGACCTCCAAATCAGGGGCCATACCCGATGCCTCGAACCAGCCCTAAGCAACTTCTAACCACCAAAGTCACAGAATCATTAGGAGTTTCACTGCACCAGGACCTCTGCTTTAATGACTCGGGAGATGACAAGCTGGAAGACTGAACCGACCTCATCCGGGCACTATGCCCCAATGTTTTGGGGTACTAAGAAACTAGATGGTGAACTTCTCACAACCGATATTCAAGACTTGTGCAAAGCATTCTTGATAACGCTTCCGAACATCTGATATCCGGATCCCAGGGAATTCCTCACTCGTGATCTCGGATTTTGGTTGAATACGAACAATTTGAGCAGAAAGAATCGAGGAGGAAGAAACAACAGAATTAGGGAGAGAAAAGAGAAGGATAGGACAAAAGAATGGGAAAATAGAGAGCAGGTTTCTCCGATAGGATTGGTTGTGGCACAAGCAATTGCATGGCTAAGGGTGGTGGAGTGATGGCGTGGAGGAGCGTGGAAACCATCAACCGAAGGTCGAAAACGGACCTCCATGCACCCGCTCAAACGTTAGCCTTCAGCTCGACCTATGGAGGTTGTATATCATAGCTGTTTTTGGCTGGCTGCCCGCACTACTTTACTGGACCAAATACGGGTTCTGTAATATCTTTTCCCTCATTTTACCTGATGACATTTGTTTACTGTACTACCGGTACTCTACAGTACTTGTGCAAAACAATTATCGAAACAATTATCCTTCAATCAATCTGCATTCCCAAAGTTCTCGTACCCTGCCCATTACCCCCGGCCCTTGGAAACGCTTTGCCAACACTCCATCTCCCATTATTCGGTACAACAAATTGTGGGAAAATATCACGGTATCTCGAGAGGCATATCTGGGAACTGTCAGCTAAAACGTTCTTCTTGTTTCTTGTTGTTAATTGACGCAGTTCTTAAGGTACTGTACAAGGGAGGGTACGAGAACGTTGCGTACGAGAACGTTGCGAATGCGGATGTGTAGTCAATAAATCTTTCTTGTTCCGTGGGGGGGGGTCGGCTGCCGAACAAGCTGCCCGGTCGGAGGGGCAAGGCAAGAATATCCTCTTGGCTGGCCCTGATTGGCCCACGATTCATCGCAACCTTCAACCTTACCCTGACGGGTCGAACTCGCTATCATACGAGAGCCCCAACACCAGCTGCTATCTGCGAAAGGTGTCGAATTTCTTATTTATAATACCGTAGGTTTGGTCCTCTCTATTAATGCAGATCTCACCCACACCTAACATTTGCCGATGGTGTTTTAGGCCGGTAAGATCTCCAGACCAAGGGGAAGTCTACCAGCGGGGACAGAAAGGAGTCGCCGCAAGGAGAAGTGTGAGGAGACGAGTACGGGAGATAGATTAGGTGTGTGAAAAGGGTAAGTGTAGCCCTTACAAGGACTGTAGGGGTAGTCTGAAGTCAAATCCTAGTGGTCCCAAGTGCAGTCCCCGAGGGCTAACTCTTTGCACCGGATCAGATATTTGACCAGAGTATCCACGAGTCGTACGCGGTGCCTCCCGTACTTTAGCGATACGGGCCAGAAGTGACATAGGGAATAGACTAGGAAATTGGCTTCCGCTACGACAAGTTTATCACAAACCACGAGTTCCGTTTAATCATAGGAATAGAGGGGGGCTGTTGCCTGAATATGCACACATCCAAACCGGCCAGAGGATTAGCAATAAATTAGAAATTATGTATCGGCGCGGATTGGCGGTCGGGAAGAAGATCCTTGGGAGAGACCGGAGGGATAAATTACAGAATGTCAATGGGCAGGGTGTGGCGCTGCACGATCAGGAAAAGAGCAATGAACCGGATATTATGCATCGACGCACACTGGCAGGTAGAGAGAAGGCTCTTGGAGGGGACCATCTGGATACCTTGTTTAGTGTCAATGAGCTGGGCATGGCGCTGTATAGGCAAGGAAAGTACGACGAAGCGGAGACTATGCATCGACGTGCATTGGCGGGTAGAGAGAAGGTTCTTGGGGGGGATCATCCTAGTACCTTACTGAGTGTCAATAATCTGGGTGCAGCGTTGCATCTTCAGAGAAGGTACGACGAATCGGAGATTATGCATCGACGTGCATTGGCGGGTAGAGAGAAGGCTCTTGGTTGGGACCATCCGGATACCTTACGGAGTGTCAATCATCTGGGCCAAACACTACATTACCTGAAAAGGTACGACGAAGCGGAGACTATGCATCGACGTGCTTTGGGGGGTAGGGAGAAGGCTCTTGGCGAAGACCATCCAGATACCTCATTTAGTATGAATGAGTTGGGTGCGGCGTTTTATGGGCAGAGAAAGTACGACGAAGCGGAGATTATGCATCGACGTGCATTGGAGGGTAGAGAGAAGGCACTGGGGCCCGATCATCCATTTACACTCGAGAACATAAATATGCTAGGCGAAACCCTGCTTGATCTGAAAAAGTATGAGGAAGCGGAAGTTATGTGTCGACGTGCACTAGCAGGCAGAGAGAGGACACTTGGATTACTTCATCGAGATACCTTACTCAGTGTCAATAATCTTGGAGTGGCGCTGTGTAATCAGAAAAAGTATTACGAAGCTGAGGTTATGTATCGTCGTGCATTCGTGGGTGCGGAGGAGACACTTGGACTTGATCATCGAGATACCCTGTTATGCATCTATAACCTAGCTGGGGCGTTGCGCAAACAAAGGAATTATCATGAGGCGGAGATGATGTATTGGCGTGCGCTGGCAGGACAAGGGAAGTCTCTTGGGCCAGGACACCCACACACCCTTCGGACCACGATCAAGCTAGTTGCGGTACTGCATACTCAGAGAAAATACAATGCAGCGGAGATCATGTATCGACGTGCTGTCACTGAGGGCGAGAAGGCTCTTGGGCCACATTATCGGGCAGCTCTAAACAACTCCAACTTCCTCGCGATGTTTCTCCATGCCCGGGAATCGAACGCTCTGGATAAGGTGTCATTATCATGATGATGGATTTACCTATACGCTGGGGGAGGGTGAAATTGTTATGTCTGTTTTTCCCCCGAACCCCAGGCGCTGTCTTCACACCACCTCAGACTCAGGTTATGGTAACGGTGTTGGTTTTGCTTTCTTCATACTCGCGTCTATTGTGCCTAGGGTACTGGCCATCTGCCTTCGTTAATTTTTGTTGTTTCCCCTCAGTTTCATATCGCGCCGCAAAGTACTGTATACCTGGCGCGGCGCTTGGCTGGCGAGAGGGTTGTGGATTCTTGAGGGATAATTGATTCTTCAATTGCTTGCTTGGCGCTGCTGGCCTCTTGCCGTTTTCCCAGTGTTTCCTTGAAATATCTTTGTTCCTTATTCTTTACAGAATTTTGTTCGGTCTCCAGTGTTCAAGGAGATGTGCATATCCTCTAGTCTCTTATCTCCAGTATCCTTATTAACCGTCTTGCTTGTGACTCCCCTACCCCTGGCCTGGGTTACGCTTGATCCACGATGATCTCACTCTTCCTATTTTATCCCTTCGCAATTTCTTTGAATAGGGGGTTATAGTGTAGGCAGTGATGGAGTAATCCCATCGCGGAATAGTATTGGGATTGGGCTGGGGTATAGCAAGGTCCAGTGCCCTGAAGAAGACAGATTGGGTAGTGTGCACATGTGGGATGTCGGCCACCACAAACTGTATTTAGTGAAGCTTTATTCCTTCCTTTCTCTTGAGTTTTTCTCTCTGTACCTACCATCGAAAACACTCTCCACTCCAACCATCCTTCACTCTGTGGTGAACTCTTACGAGTCCAATCAATCCCGATCAATCGTTCCGCTGCGCTGCAACAATTCGCTATCAGGCAGTCCTCTTGGTGTGGCCTCTACCAGGCTGTAAGTAGGTTCACAGGGGAGTCTAGGAACCTATTCTCCCAACGCCTTGATATAATCCTGAAGCTTTTTGTTCCCGCTGCGATATTTTAACATGTGGCAACAGGTTTAAACGATAGCCAATGGCACCTGCCGTCGGAGTTTTTTGTAGCAGATGTTCTTCACCCCAGGTTCTGATAGCAGGCTGATTGCGTGATGGGACGGGATGGGCTTACTCCTATCATAACCTCCCATTTAAACATGATTTACAGCCGGCGAATAGGCAGTCGGGGTGGGGTTTCTTCAATGCCCAACATATACTAGGTCCACCTGTGCATATGTCCTCTACTAGGCTTCACAGTTGAAGAGAATTCAATTAATTTGAAGAGGATATAGTTTTCGGGAAAGGTGGACTGGGAGACCAAGAGCGGATGTGAATATCGTAGATAGGAACCACACAATACCCGATTCCTTGCATTGTTAGTCCACACCTGAAGTGCAGAGCCCCACTCTAGCATGAGTTCAACAATTCTGTATGAAAGAATCTATACAAAGCCAACTCACAAAAGGCGGAGTGGGGCTCGGGGGTGCTGTCTACTCTTCGCCGATTCCGTTGGCACTGTGCCTCTCAAATTATATTTCAAGTTAAAAAAAAACCTCCCAATTGAGACATTTCAGACACTCCGTTGGGATGAGGAGGGAGAGAACCCTCTTGTGAATATTTGCCGTGTTCTTACATATACGCAGGTCCCTTTTTACATGTCATTCTAGTCGCCGTCTTGGGTTCGCACTGTCGGGCAGCTACAACTTCCTTCTTACCAGGTCCCTCACATTTATGGTGGAGATTTGTCAGTTATCCACTGCCTGCTTGGGACAACCAGAATACTGGAGGTATGGCAAGTGTTTGTGGGTGTATAACATTTGAATAAGAAAATGCTAATTAATGAGTTGTAAGCCCACCCCGCCGGGATTAGGATGGGCGGGGGGGTAGGATAGGAATGCTATAATACTATGCACGCTACCTCGCGGTGGAGTGTGGTGGATGCCTGTGGGACACTATCAAGGGGTCTCCGTATATACAGGCCCCCTTACGCTCATACATTTTCATTATGGCATCAAAGGAAAACCTTCCTTTCCCTCCCTTGGGCACCACACTAGAGGGGGCTAGCGATCATGCAGTGCACATTGGGGTCCAAGGATTGAACCCCCGTCACTACATGAGAATTCCCTAGGAAACAATTCAAGTTCTCTTGGGTAGCGTTTAATCCTTTGATTCGATTATAGAGAGGGACCTCCGTACCCGGAGCGCCCATCTAGTGAAGCACTCGATGGCTAATATCGAAATTTAAAGAATTCTCTAACAATTTCCGTAAAAAAAGAAAAGAAAAAAGTAACTATTATGTAGATGATAGAGTAGCTTACTAATTAGCTTCAAACTAGCTCCGCACTAATAACAAAGAGGAATTTCTTCCGTGGGACTTATTAGGGCATACTCAAGTATAGGGGGGTGGCACATCTTGGGCGGGAGGAGAATTGAAACGTCCTCGGTAGGTTCTGAGAAAAACCGGTGTGGGAATTATTTCCCACTTTCCCTTTGTCGGATGGTGTGTCGATTACGCTGGTACCCTCTAATATTGTTCCTCCAATGGTACACTGATATGGATGACGATAGCTCTGTGTAAATTGGCCGGCAGATCTGTCGTGTAACTAAAGTGGAACAGAAGGTATGAAAGGAGAAAGCGCCGCACCCACTTGAGGTGGAGAGGCGATGTTGACTATGCCTGTGTTGACTGAAGCTCGCCCTCTCTGTGTTAAGCAAGGAAGGTGCTGCAGCTTAAATGGCAACCATTCGTATGCCAAGCTGCCTATCATACATAGAAAGGTATTCCCCAACTCGCACTCGACCTCACACCGGTCAATGAGTATCCTGTAACCTCACTAGGAGCTATTGAACTCTATCGGACATAGTCTAATAAAGAGTTTGGTCCGGCAAGAAGTACGGAGTCTCAGAGGGGATGATATCATTAGACAGGTATCATACCTGGGTTAGTGGTTGGATTCGCGATGCGCGACGCGTTCCGCATCAACAGCAGCGGGATTTCTACAAAAAATACTTGGGGCGAGAATAAGTATCCTGACCAAACAAAGGGTTCTCCCCGCAAATTTTTGTATGTGTTGAACGGCGCTCCGTGGCCAAGATTTTTCTATTATACATTCCAGAAAATGCCACCAATCAGGAATCAGGAAACAAGAGCGGAAAGGGGTGCTCTGCCCAGAATGCATTCTGAGGTGGGGGAATCGCTGGTGGTCCCTCGAGAGCCTCATGAGTTCCACTTGCCCCATCCTAGGCTTCTTCTGCTACAGCGGGGGGCAAAAATACGTTCACATTTTACGTAAGCAAAAATACATCGGGTAGCAACCACAAACCTCAAGAAACCCAAAGTACATGATAATCATAATCCAGAAACGTAAAAAAAAAGTAAAAGATAGTAAGAAACGTACAGATGAATGAAAGAAAGAAATACAATAGCACCTAATACTTCGTATACCATCCATTTGCCTTAATTACTGCCTGAAACCGCTTAACCATACTTGCTGCCACCTGTTCAAAAACCTCATCCATAATCTCATTCCAACAACTTCCAGCAGCAAGAAAAATAGCAGTCTGAATATCTGACCGAGAAACTCCAAGCCTTCCAATATCCATCTGCAATAACTCAGGGTATTTTCGCTCCATTTGACTCTTCATTACGCTCCATGTAACCAGTACTGGTACTCAGTTATTATGTTTTGTTTTAAGTATCACTTTGATACTTGATTTGTTTTAAGTATCGTTTGATACTTACAGTCACTCGGCAGAAGTATTCGTGAAACCAGTCTCAGATGACTAAGCTGCCTCACCAAAATGCCACGTTTCAATGAAGTGTAAAGTTGATCATGACCATTTACCCTATCGCGACTGTGACCATTCACAAATCTACATCCACCAAAGCCTCCTTTACCTAATTAACTAATTTATTAATTTTCTCTACCTTTTTTACCAATGGTTAAGCATTTTGGAAATACGAAGCATGCTATAAAAAAAAGACACATACCTAAAACCTCTCGGAGAGAAATGAGCCTTGCAGAGAAGGGCATGATAATCGCCTTTTTCTATCGCCTCCAGAACATTGCCTTAGTGGCTCAAATTATTAGACGCCCATGGACAACAGTTAAGAGCTTTCTTGTCCGGGTATGTGAATGCCAATCTCTTGAAAATCTCCCTCACCCCAGTGGTACACCCATTTTGAGTGGTCAATGGTGTCGCATAATTATACAGGCAGCCAAGTCTAACCAGAAAATGACCAGATGTACCTTCAGGGATTGTTATGCATCTGGTATTTCTCTTGATACTGGTAACTCTTTGTGCTACCTAGAGTGACTGGATATGATTGCCTACTAAATTTGTCTGCATAGTGGACTGGGTACTCAGAGAAGCAAACATTAAAAAATGGATAGCCAAGTCAAGACCTAGGCTAAAGCCTAATCATGTGGCTAAGAGATTGAGATGGGCTACAGCTCATAGGGACTGTGTAACGTGTTCGTAAGGTACTAATCACGTTATCGGTAATGAGTACGATAGTTGGCAGGTGGCCTGCTCTTCCAGAGAGGAGGTGAGAGCTGAAAACTAAAGGAGGCTTCGAGGGTGTACTGAGGAACAAAGAAGTAACCGTTCAACCAAGTATATTGAAATACTGTCTGTCGAAGTCTGCCTTCTCTATCGTAGAAACAGGCGGTCTTTAAATACACAAATCTGTTCATGTCTAGCTTAAACGAAACTAATCAAAGGCATCAATCGATACACTTTGATGAAACTAATTAAGTATCAAAGCGATACTTAAAACAAAACATAAAACAAAACCAAGTATCAAACAATACTTAAAATAAACCAAATATCAAAGCGATACTTAAAACAAAACATAAAGCAAAGCCAAGTATCAAACGATACTTAAAACAAACCAATAACCGAGTACCCATACCGGTTACATTCCCCAAAACAAAACAACTGTTTAAACAAACAAAAACTAATAATTATCAAAAGCGGAGTCTGAGAAACTAAAAGCTTCAGTTTCCGCTATGAATTCTTCATCAAAAGTGTCACATCAGGGACAAGAAGAAATTCTAAGAAAACAGTTAGATTCAAAGAAATGCAGGTCACAGTAGTCACAAATACCAGATTTGCGCTGTACATCAACCCAAGCGTGGTCGCAATCAGGACAGTAGTCTATCCAGAGGATTTCGAAATAGTCTTCAAGTTGGATAACTTTGCAGTTCAACAACAGTCCAACAATCTGTGGTCGCAGCCTCCCATTGAGTTCCACATAGTTTGACATCGTTATGGTATTCGGATGGATGACGGTTGTTAGACAAAGTTATCGAGAGCTTGTTCCATAGCCTGATTTTCCTCATCACTGCTTTCAAACTCCGACTCAAAGTATGGTGCCCAAAACCTATCTCTAGTTTCGAGTTCTGCATGCTATTGCTCAGTTTCTGGCATCGTAGGTGTCCAACACATGGTGATGTAATTGATCGTTGGGGGGAGGGATTCATTTAGCATGCTGTCTTTCCACCAATCATTCACCATATCCATAGTGTGCTCTAGTCCTTCCAGCAGTTCCCAGCTGTTCTCGCTTGTTGGGTAACCTTTCCATTTGACTAGGAACTGATCATTTCCATGCCAAAGGCGGTGGTCTCGGATTTCTTCAACTTCCCATTCATCTTTCTTATCAATGAGGATAGGTGCAGGTCGAGAGTGGGTTCTTCCAGGGAACTTGGAGTTATCATTTGAGTGGAATCACTTGACAGCAGAGGCGTGGAAGACTGCA